ACTGATAACACTAAACTGATGAGCGGTAACAGCTTTTAAAGCGTCGCCTAGGGCCAATTTTGGGTATTATCGTTTTTTGAGGTTTCGCGCGCGCACGCTATTTTAAGACTTGACATGTTTGATGTCTTTTTACCCGACGTGACCCCATCTTTTATATTTTACCAAAAAATTGGGTAATAAATGTTTTATCATTTAATATAGGGGAAACTGTTTTTTTTTTTTAAATGTCGGTAATTTTTCCTTAATATAGTAAAAAAAAAACCCCAGTGGGGAATAAATACCACCAAAAGAAAGCTCTATCTGTCCCCAAAAAAGGTTATAAAATTCATTTCAGTACAGCGTTGCATGACGGAATAAATGTCAGTTAAAGTACCGCAGCGCTGAATACTGAGAAATGGCCTGGATGGGAAGGGGGTTTAACACCGCGGATGTCAACTGGTTAATGAAGATCTGTAAAAGTAACTTAGTTTATTGTTACCTAATGGGGCTTCTTGACTTTTTTTTTCACACAGGTGAACTAACCCTTTAAATCCAAACAGGTTGACCCTTGTACAGCCAATTGTTGATAAATCTACCAACACTACTAAATTGAAAAGGAGATCATATGAGCGATAAAAGTATCACTAAACTCAGGAGTTAAAAGGAGAACTATGAGGGGGGTGATTTCCACTCACTTCATAGTTCTAAGCCGACCTGTGACAATGAGACTGTCACAGGTCGGCTCAGTAGATCGGGAGGTGAGGGAACACATACCGGGTTCGCTCAGTCCCCTCTCTTCCTATACTCTTTTCTATCTTTCTCCCATTCACTAGAACAATTTGTTTAATTCGCTCCCCTTGCAGTGGCTGTATTTGTCTCACACCAATTTTTCATTTATCATACACATTGTACCTCTTACTACGGTTGTATGGCAGATACGCACGGAGGTTAGGTTATGAGTTCATTCCTCCTCACACCTGTCATTGTTTAACATAGATATACTCACCTCGCCAGGTCTCCAGTTCTTGTTTTGTGCGTAATGTACGAGTATGATTGTTTGATTACCAGTATCTCAATCTGTTGCCGCTACTAGACCAATGTCATGCGTTTTGTTTTTTTCTTTCATGAGAAATGTTCTTGTTTCATGATGTTTATTTTTTTCAATAAAATTGATTCAACTCTAAACTCAGGAGTTAAATCTTAAAAATACATTGAAGTCCCTTAGGCCTTGTTCACACCAAGCGCAGAACAGATCAGGTGCAGAGCAGATCAGTTGCAGACCGGATCAAAACTGCGTGCAATGTATTCCAATGGTATTTTTTGCTCCAGTTCACATCGCAGCATGCAGTTCCAGAGCAGGTGAAAAAACTGCAGCAGGCCCTATTTTACCTGCTCTGGATCTGCAAACGCATAAAAAATGCATGCAATGCCTAGAATGCACTGAAAGCCCATTTTAAAAATTTAAAAAAAAAAAAAATTGAATAGCCAAAAACGCATCTAAAAGACTAGCGTGCGTGTGCAGAAACCTGACCGGATCTGCTCTGCATTTGGTGTGAACAAGGCCTTAACGATCAACCACAATGTATCTTATTTGTGTAACACTCGGCTGTAGATCCTCAAATCATCTCTGAATTGGTGCTGACACTGTCCTTCCTTCTCGAGGGTGCTACTTTTGTTCCCCATGGTCCCTGTGTGTGTTGTGAAGTAGTCACTGCTCCAAGCTCCCTCCTGTGATGGACTACAATCTCAATACAAATTAGTACACTAAACATGAGATTGTAGTCCATCACAGGAGTGAGCTTGGAGCGGTGACTACTTTACAACACACACAGGGACCATGGGGAACAAAAGTAGCCACCCTCCAGAAGGAAGGACAGTGTCAGCACCAATTCAGAGATGATTGGAGGATCTACAGCCGAGTGATACACAAATAAGATACATTTATGTTAATAGCTAAGGGACTTCAATGTATTTTTAAGATTCAACTCCTGAGTTAAGTGTCACTTTAATTATGTGGCCAGCTTAGAGACCCTGTAACCAGACTATTAATTTCAACCACAATCTTAGCACAAGATTATATATACATGTAACATATTTTATGCATGTTTTTTACCTGTAAAGAATTTGCTTGTGTATTCATCCACCTTGAAAGTGATATCAGCAGCCCCAGCAGACTCTGACTGACATTTCAGTATAATATTCTGCTACACTCCTCCCCATGACCGGTACATAAAAGTTTATGTGGGGAAGTGAAAGGAGGGGCAGAGGAGTAAAAAAAAAAAAAATCGACATTTGTCGAACGGAGTGGTGCTGACAGGACCACACATTGCTTGATTCTTGGAGTCTATCTGCGGGACAAAATCCAAGCAGTGTATGGCCAGCTTCAGCAAGAAAGTTTCTGACCTTGGGCAGCAAAGTCATTTTGACTGACTCAGATGCCAATTAGTTTTTGCAATGTGGCATTTTTTCTCTTTCAAAGTATTTTTATTAAGTTTTCCATTTTGTGAAGAAACAGAGTAAACCATATTCAGGTAATGCAACATACATGACCTAAATATACTGACATGTACATGTGATCAGCCCGCCACAACATGAAACTCGTGAAGTTACCTGCCCTGTATCCCACATCAAGCCAGGGTACAGGCCAGGATATCCTATTACCTTGGGCCCAATGTGGCATTTAAAATTTTTTTTTTTATTACTGTAGTTATACTAAGCCAAACTTTTGCATGTTAACACCGTTTTAAAAAGAGGGGCTGTTGATATCACCAAGTAAGCCGTTTGCACGGCATGCTTTCGTTTTCCTGGAATATAATGGGTTATGTCATATAGACATTTTTGATGCGAAAGGCTCAATTCACAAAAGGTTTACAGAAGGATAAAGATCTATACTTTCAGCCATGTGAATGTAAATTTTTAAATCTCATTGTTTGAAAGAAAAAAAAACCAAAACACATCTCTTTTTTGAAAATAAGGATCCTCATCCTGGTGTTTTGGATCGTTCAACCAATAAACTTTGCATACTTACAGGCATTCTTTTTTATGTCCCATTTAACCTTTAAGCCTCATTGTGCAATGTACTGGCCCTTCACATTGTACAATGTGAAGGGCCAGTTGCTGATCTAACGGGAGCTGTGGCGAGAAGCGTGCAGTCAGCTCATGCAACTCTATGGAGACACGGAGCTGTGCGCCCTCACATGCTGCTTCTCACAGCTGAGAGTTTTGATAGTGACAGAGAGAAGGTGTAGAACCTCAGACACAATGGATCCAGGTCCGTACACCATCTGTGCACGGCTGTCAAAACTCAAAGCTGCGGGAAGCAGCGTGAGGGCACACAGCTTCTGCATCACCACAGAGTTACAGGAGCTGCCCGCATGCTTATTCACGCAGCTCCTGGTGCATCAAAAACTGGCCCTTAATTCTGTACATAGCAACATGCCTCGTGTGAATGAGGCCTAAAACCTCCCTGTATCAATGCCCAATCAGTATCCGCACTCACCTCCAGCTTCTGGGACAAGCACATCAGCTTAGGCTGGCTGTTCTCCTGGCTCGGAGTGAATTCAATTGGCTCATCCTTCGGACTCTTCACATAATAAAAATGGAGCTTTTCATAACTTTTCTTCAGCTTGCACAGCTAGAAACATGACAAGAATAAAGCAAAACCTTAGACTATTCCACATGCAGATCACAGAGTCTTTCCATGAAACTCAATGTCAGGAAAGTTTGTTTTATAAAATGTACAGGGCATGCAGCAGACTTGATTATGGTAGAGATATCTCTGTAAATCACAGGTGGGTATCTTAGGACCTTCAGGCCTGGTTCACACCTGGGCGTTTTACAGCGCGTTCCTACGCTCTGTAAAAACGCTCAACATGTGAAAACCAATGATTGCCTATGGGCATGGTTCCCACCTGGGCATTTTACAGCGCGTAGGAACGCGCTGCAAAACGCCCTACGCCCAAAGAAGTACAGGAGCTTCTTTGGGGCGTATTTGCCACGCGTATCCATTGGGATACAGCCAGGTAGCCCTCGGAAACGTGCGTTTCTCATGTGGTTTTTACCACGAATCGCGGTAAAAACGCCCATATTTGATACGCCTAGGTGTGAACCCAGCCTGAACCAATCACAGGTGGGGACCTTAGGATCTTCAACAAATTGCAGGTGGGTACCTTAGGACTTGCAACCAATTGCAGGTGGGTACCCTAGGACTTACAACCAATCATGTAGCTTCTCATGTTTTCTAGCACACACTTGAAAGATTACTGGATTAGAATTTGTTGCTGTGGGCAATGCATTTAATTTTATATCAACCAAAATTATAAACTACATGTCCAGTGCAATAAATGAATAAACCTACACACCATGCAGGAACTTAGCCAACATAACATTATTTGGAGGAAATGTACAGGCAACAAAAGGGTTCAAAACCCCATAATGTGACCAGGTATGAAAGGCAAAATCTAATCTCCTGGACACAACTTTACATATGCCACTCAGACATTTAGTTTGTGAAACGAAAATGCAGCAATGAATGCTGTATACTTATAAACACTAACACCCACGGTAAATGAGCAGGTGTTTAATGCCAAGAGTATAGTCCTCATATAACACGGGAGTTTGCATGTTCTCCCTGTGTCCCTCTCTAAACTGGCCCTGTATGTATGTGACCTCCTAGGAGGGCAGGGTCTGACATGGTGTAAGTGCAGTATGTAAAGTGCTGCGTAAACTGTTGGCGGTATATAAATACCTATAATAAATACCTATAACACTAACACGCCAAGCACCGCATGCTGTATACTTGATTTTATTTAAACTTGGGATGTCTAAATCAGCCTCTCTCAACCAGAGTACCGTGGCACCCTGGGCTGCTTTCTGCCCTCCTCAGGCCTCCAAAATGTTTGAACAGCATCATGCCTTTCCATTGTGAAGGAGGCGACTGTGTTGTAAAAAGAGGTGACTCTACTGAGAAGGGGGCACTCCTGATCTGAAGTGGTAACCCCTATTTTGTATTTTTGCACGGGGTCCCCCTTAAAATTTATACTGTACCTCTATCATGGATAAGGGTCTGGCATGGATTTTGGAAGGAGCACATGTCGTTTTTCACATTTTAGATTGGGGTGCCTTGAAACTTTTCATACTTTTAAAAGGTGCCGCGACTTGAGGGAGGCTGAGAAACACTGGTCTACATAAACATTCCCATAATAGCTGAGCGCCATCTTGTGGCCATTTGTAAGAATTGCCTAAAGTAGACTAGATTCTCTAAAATTTTAACTTTTGTTTTATAAAACACTGGAAGTAAAAGAAGATTACATTATTTTTTGTTACAAAAAAACACAGCTGTCCCCTTCTTTGTATAGGTTTTCTCTCCCTACGCTGTGGACTGCATAGTCAAAATCGGGAGTGTTCAGGAAATAGTGACAATGCTGCAGCTGAATCAAAGGAAGTGTTGTCACCCCAGGACAGGAAGAGCTCTGTGGATACACCTTTTGGGTATGATTAAATTATAAGCAGGACGTGAAAAAGGAATGATTAGGGGTATAATTAAACCTTAGGAAAAATGTCATGGCTGTAGTTTTAAAGCTGATCAGTAATTTGCTGTATTTTATCAGTTTTTTTATTTATATGGGTATTTATGTACTGCCGACATTTTACACAGCACCTTACATAATTCACATTAACATCAGCCCCTGCCCTCCAGAAGCTTACAATCGAAAGTCCCTATCTCACATACATACAGGGCCAATTAACCTTCCAGCATGTCTTTGGAGTGTGGGAGGAAACCGGAGTACCCGGAGGAAACCCATTCAAACCCCTTTGCAGGTAGTGTCCTGACTGGGATTTGAACCGGGGACCCCCCGGTGCTGCAAGTGCTTTAAATCAGTTTATATGCTTACCTTTGCCTTCCTTTCAATGCACGTGCATGGCTGTTTTTCCAGTGGCCTTCTGTTCATGCACCCACATCCTACATGTGGATGATGGTCTCCTACTGATGATGTCAGCAAGCTCCTGCTCAGTGTATGGACAGTGAACTTGGAGGCATCAGCCTCTAATACCATTTCTGTGTTTTTGACACTGAATAGTCTGCTGTCATGTACATGAATGTATTATACAGATACACACAAAATCTTTTTTTTTTTTTCCACCTGTGGCACTAGAATCACAATGCTCTGCGATTTGGGGAAAGCCGGCGTACAATGTCTCAATGGACATGAACTTTTTTCAGTGTTTAAAAGCAACACCAGCACACCAACCTGGTTTCCTTATGGCAGTGGTTCTCAACCTGTGTAACCTCAGGACCCACATTTGTCCTCAGTCATTAAGTCGTGACCCAAGAACGCGTGGCACTGGGGTCCTGTGCGTTCCAGTGCAGGCAATCGAACTGTGGGTGGGAGGTGCGTTTGGGGTGCCATTCAAATGAATGGCAATGCAACACACCTCCCACACCAGAATGCGCGGTATGTGCAATTGCGATTAACGCACGGTACTAGTGTGATGGGGCCCTCAAAAACACTGACAGACACACACACAACCACAGTCACAATCTCATACACTCCCCCCAAAAAATGTAATTTTTGCTCTTTTAAGATCCACCCAGTCTCCCTACCTTACAAGAACTGGAGTGGATCCTCCAGTGTGGGCTGCTGTGCTGTGATGGAGCTCCATCCATGTGAGCATTGCTGGTACAGCTCCCTCATGTGCCCTATAGAGGTGCCGGGAGCCAGAATGTGACATCACTCTGGTCCAGGCACCTCTACAGAACACGTGAGGGAGCTGAAAACAATGCACGTATGGATGGAGCTCCCTCACGGCCATAGCCCCAGCCTGTCCCACCTCAAGCTGAGGAGCCTCTCACCTAGAAAAGTGGAAGGCACGCGGTGACCCACTGAACATGGTGTCGCGACCCACCAGTTGAGAACCAAGGCCTTATGGGATACATAAAAACTTAAGCCGTGCAATGGGACTACCTACACATTGCAAGGGTTAAAAGCTTGATCTTGTCTAGGGTCTGAAATAAAAAAAAGATTTACTCACCCGAATCTCGGTCCTGCGGCAGTGACATCTCTCCCCCTCTGCTCCGGCATGTCCCTCAGTGCCTTTACTTCTAATACATGTGAATGGACTGTATTAGACATGATGATGTCAGCAGGGCTTAGATTGCCGGGAGCCGTGGAGACCGATCTAGCAGCCAGGTAGGTTTGAGGATCAGTGAGTGTTTATTCTTTATTTGAGCCCCTAGAGAAAAATGAGCAGTTAACCTTTGCAGTGAGGGAGTAGCCCCACTGCAAGGGTTCATTTTCTAAAAACCTGGAGTTCTGCTTTAACCCTTTGTTAGGACAGCCAGCATTCAAATCTGATTTGCAATTGATAATCTGGTGCAATACCCCTTTCTTAACGTCAGTGTGAACGGTAAAGACCTTACCTGAGATTTCAGGCCTTCAAGCTGCTTTTCATAGTTCTGAACAGTTTCTTCTTGAGACCGATCGGCTAATTCTAGCTTCCTGGAAAGAATTCCGATCTGTCGTACAAAGAGTAGTGTCAACGGTTAGAATGGTATGCGATGGTACGTCCCACTGTGTATAGAACACGACGACTCATGGACCTTAGACCGCTGCAGCAGGGAGGG